TATATCGAAGCTAATCCCAAATGGAGCTTTACGATGCGTCTTTAAGGTCTGCTCTCGATCGTTAGCCCGCTCGAGTCGTTTAGTCTCATAAGTTAAGATCAGGGCACAAAAAAGTCCAAATAAATCTGTCCTTGTCTGGCTCGCGGCCGGAGAATTTGAGCAATGTAAATCATTTTATTACAATTCGTTCTTTTTTATACTGTGTCGCAGCTTTTGTGGTCGGATATGTTGCCTCGTGCTTTTTACGGCCCTTCCTACGCCGCTACAACTAATGTCAGTTTCCGTCAACTTGTTATTGACTTTTAGGATACTACAACATGATTAATATACATTGCAAATATATGTAGCCTTTAAACTAAAGTGTATCCGATGACAGTAAAAATTGGATATTACGTAAAAGTAGTGAAGACGATCAAGCATATCTTGAAATTATTTTACTTTACTTTAGTGATATCCAAGTTTTATGCTTATGATGTTTGTTTATTTTAAATCTATCTCAGTATATTGACGTAGATGCGAGTACATCAATAACTCCTAAGCAGTTACTGGTCCCCAATTTTCTGTAACCTAAAATTATTAACCAATATTCGAGTTAGGCAATACGATAATTAAACTGTAATATATACTAATATATATACTGAAAGCTCCCAATATTATTCTCTAAATATATGTATGTACATTAAATTAAAATCATAACCATCTTATAAATTTGAATTAGTATAAATATAACTTATAAGAAAACCTTTTATGACGAATTGATCTTAATAATTACTACATATACCAGAAGTCGATTTAATTAAATAGTAGAGTCAATATTTAGCTCTTAAATTTTAATCAAATCGACTACCAAATACTGTATTGTATATGTACTAATCTTTTTATACGCATTTGGAATTCAATCAACTGGATTAAATCCGCGCATTCGCTTTCATGTCATAAATCCCAATCGCGACACCAAAATATTGAATGGTGCCAAAATGTCACCTGAACTGCAAAGAGACCGACTTCTTTGTCGGTCCCGCGTCGCCTCACTGGGTGTTCCGTTGAGCCCCTATTTTTTCATCTTATTCAATTTTGACTTATTTCAAAGGGCTATTAATATAAGCCGCATTTTTTAAAATCAGTTTTAAGGCCCAAGTCGGGCATTGTTAAAGCATTTTTTTAATCTGTTTCCGTAGGATACCGCTACCGACTTATAAATGAGATGGACCGACCTGCGCCGTGCCAAGCGACCCTTGATTTGCCCGAATTAAAACATGATGTGGGTTTTTACAAAAAAACATTCGGCTAATAAATAACGCGTGTCAAAAAAAAACAGATGAAGACAAATTACGGCAATATAATGTCAAATAAATTATAACCTCCCATTGAGAAAACCATATTAGATTAGTTTTTTAGTGTTATTAATCAGGCCTAGGCAAGGTTTTGACGAGTTCCATTTTCTATTATTCTCTAAAACAAAATCTATTTCAGGATTCTAACTATATTTACACTTATCCGTTATAATGAAATCATATACTTTCAGACTAATGTAACGATAACAGCTAATAATTCCTATATTACCTATGAATGAAATTATATTAGTTGAACACACTTTATATTCATAACAAGACTTAACTCGAATAAACGCCGACAGAAGAAACGCCTTATTAAATTCAACTGCAATTAAAATAGATACTGTTTAGAAACACAAACATTCATGTTTCCTTTAATCTTTGTGATTAAATGAAAGTTCTATGTTTAACGAATATGGATCATACCGTTCAACACAAAATATACAAAAGGCATTTTTGTTTTCGTAAAATAAAAAGTTCTTGAAAAATTTATTAATCAAATTTATTTATTGGTTTTCATCCAACATATAACAAAAAATTATGAATCTAGATAATATTTAAAAAATAAAGGAATTGTAGCATTTTTAATATTAATAATAACAGCATTTTTAATAATAATAATAACAACAGAGACTTATGGCCACATTTTTATGTCTAACAAAGAAACATGAAAAATTTAAAGCATCGTTATAATAACACTAGCTGTAACCCGCGGTTTGGGTCACATGACCCAAGAATACTGTGTGCATACTGCCTGCTATATTAGAGTCTTATGCTAATCTCGATATAAATCTGCCAGTGAATATCCACTTTTATGTCATGGTCATTAGCTTATCAACGTCCCCACTGCTGGAGCAGAGGCCTATCCAATAGATGGAAACAATTACGGAAAATATCCGGTGTTTCTATGTATAACTCGTATGTCTTCATAGAATAGTCCAGTTAATTTTCTTTCCATTTAATATTCCTTTCCTTTTCATGGTATAGGTCTCTTAAAAATATTGAGGGCGTGGGTCTTGCCAACTAAATCTAAAAACGGTCATCGGTTTTTAGATTAGTTGGACAGACCCACGGTTTTTAGAAAAAATGTTTTTTTTTTTCAATAATTTATTTTACTATTTTTTTTGACTGAATCTTAATTATGCCTCTCTAACATCAATTGTTTTTAGCTTTACCTTGGACCGACGCATTTTCAGACAGTTTGTCTGGCTGAAAATACGACGGGGTGTGAGGTTCCGAGTTGACTATAGAACAACTGAAAATGAAAGTGACTTTGTATGTTAAAAATTGGAAAAACTATAAAGACATTAAACATTAAAAAAATCAAAATCCCGTTTTAACAAAAGAGTAGTGCCAGCTTAATGTAACATTTTTACTGATTTGAATTATTCAAAACATCATTTAATCCTATGTTAACAACTTAAACTATTTAATAATGAATTTAGAAAAGGATAATATGGAATATAATTTATAATCACGTTACAGATGATGTTCTAAATTAAGCTTATCAGTGGTTCTGAGAACCAATCGATTCTGGTGTCCTGGATCTAGTGACTGTAGAAGCTAATGTGGTATTGGGAGAAAAAACAATAGGGCTAGCTATTATAACTCTTCGTGGCAGATTTGATGGAGTTTCATATGACTCAACACGTTTTACTGATATTCGACCAATTTCAAAATCTTCTGGCGTGAAGTATTTTTGGTTCTAAAATACTTCAAGTAATTTGATGTAGTTTGAATGTTCTTTTGAAAGGGCGAATAGTAATGTTTACAGAACAGAACAGCATTTGCTTTATTTTGTATATCGGGTATATTTGTATCATAAATGGGAATAATTACGATGCCCTTGCAATTTTCTTTTGAGCAGTCAGCAAAAGAATATCGACAATGTCTCTCCCATTTGCGACGGCCTTATCACAAATTCTTTTGAGACATCCATCAACACCGTCTGGAGCACCCTTTCCGTGACCTTAAATGTCATGTGATGCTGTCAGCATTAGTAATATTACCAATTATGTTTTTTTGAGTTTTCTCTTTTGACCGTTGATGACAACATTTACGTTTTTAGTTACCCATCTTTGATAAATTATTATATCGAAACGTTTAACCGTACTGAAATCCACATATTGCGCAACACAATGTGAACAATTACGTTCTAAACACGAAACATCACGAATATTATTACAGCAAAGACTCTTAGCGACATCAGAAACAGTAAATCGTTTCATCAAGCTAAGATCATACAGGGGTATGATCTTCGCTTGATGAAACGCATAAACTATTAAATCAAATTTTGTATGGGTACGACATAAACAGATATTTCTTAACACCAGCAGTTAGTACTATTTTCATCTTCAATAAAATGTCATATATTTTTGCTTCACGTTAATTTTATCAGAATTATCACTTTGATATTTTTTTCTTTTCAGTCTTAAAATACTTATCCTGTTTTTAGCTAATTTTGTTTCTAATACCTGTTTGTTTTTTATTTTCTCTTTCTCAAGCCTAATCTTAGCTTTTTCACGCCACATTTTTATAATTTGCCAGAGCGTTTCTTTTTTGTTCTTCGCTCAAGTTTGATCTAAATCTGCTTGTATGAGGCATTTTACCTAAAAAATATGAATTTCATGCATCAAATATTGTTTCAAGAAAAAAAAAGAGGAAAAATATTAATGCTTCAGTGCAGTCGTCCAAGAAAAATAATGCTTAAGTGTAAATGAATACCCTGGCTTTTAAAACTTTGGTACACGTCATATTTATTTCTTAATTAACGCACATCGTTTTCTCCTGTGAACAAAAGATTCTCCTGTGGTGAATAATTTTCATGGAAAATGAAATGAAAACAGAAAAGAAAATAACCACATAAAATTATCACTTTCATTTTAGTTTACCGAACAAAAGCCAATTTGATTTCCAATTAACCCCTTCTTGGGTTTTAAGCTGTATGTTTTTTCAAGCACGTCGTAGTTTACTTACCACGAAATGTGAACAGAAAAGATGCACTGATACGTGACAAAATTATTTGAATAATTATTAAAACTTTTCACAAATTAGCTCCGTAACATAACCTTGCTAGATTCACTCTGGCACCAGGCTTAAAATATAAGCCAGGCTTAAAATATACATATGATAGTAACTTTAGTAAATTGCTTCGATCTCTAAATTTTTCGGTTCAAGTCAAGACGTATTACCGAATTTTTATTAATTATTATAACTACAGTATTATGATTAAGGTTTTTGCTAAATAAAATCGTATTCGTTGTTTTACAATATTGTATAACAATATTAGAAAGCAAATATTTTTAGAAATTACAACGTAAAAATAATACAATGTACCTTCAAATAACTTACCTGACCAACCAACCTGAACAGTCCACAGAAGGGGACAATCGGTTACATAAAAAAAATATTTACATTACTATTTACACAAGTTATTTCAACTTTCTTGTTCATTTTATTAACATTTACAGTTTTGATTATGTTCCCAATTAATACTTGTTATAAACATGATATGTTTAAAGTTATCACATCTGAACATGCTTATGTGTATGAACCTTTCTTTTCAGTTTATGATAATTGCTGAAAATATTACATAAAAATCTATTAATTATATTTGATGCAATTTCTAACGTTTATGTTTGCATATATGTTGTGTATACTCATCAGGTCGAGGTTCCGACTCATCCGACATAGAGTCAGAGCCAGGATTGACGCTAAAGAGAAAGCAGCGAAGATCACGGACGACGTTCACGGGGGAACAATTAGATGCCTTAGAGAGGGCTTTCCATAGAACGCAATACCCAGATGTCTACACAAGAGAAGAACTGGCGCTACAAACTGGGCTTACTGAGGCTAGAATACAGGTACCAATAAGAGATTGAAGTAAACTATGATTTTAATGTAGTTTTACAATACTAACATTTTATATCATCTCAATGTATCCTAAACCTTTTTATCAACAACAATACCTAGAAATTTCCATTGAAACAAAGTTCAAACATACGCGTAACTCTTTTCATGGGTAAATTTTATGGTTATTCCATAATTAATTTTAAAATGTTTACATATTATAACATAATTCTTGTTAACCAGCATGAAGAATCTCTAAAACCTCACAATTTTCAAGTAGCACTTGAATAATATCAATTTTTTAATTATGTAATTACAGGTCTGGTTTTCAAATCGCCGCGCTCGCCTTCGAAAACATACAGGGTCTAACCCAAGCCCCAGTCTTGCTGGATATTCCACGTTACCAATGCCCCAATTACCGTGTCCTTATCCTTCCAGCGAAATGCCTACACTTTCGCAACACCCCCAACACGATGCATGGCACCACCAAAAGTATGCAAATTACAACCAGTTGATGGCTCAATCACAACATTTGAACCAAGCATTTCAGAATGCAGCTTTCCCTAGCACATCAGGATCAACTTTCAGCCATCTAGTTTCCGCTAATGGTACAACAGCAAGCCAACTTTTGGATGCGGCAGTTCCTAGAAACGATTATCCGCGGTACCCAACCAATGATATTTACAATAAACCTATAGATTACATACCTAAGGAAACTGAAGGGGATGAAAAAGTTCCTAATGATGAGGCTATAGAACCAAGGGAAAACTCTTTTGTAAAAACAAGTGCTGATGACTACAACAAGGAGTTACCAAATAGTGAATATCCAAAAGTTCCTACAGATTATTCCAAAGTTTCTGTTGATCCATCTTCCTCTGCAAATTGGAGCCCCTCTCACAACTCCTTAAATATGAGCCTGTCTGGTCTATCTAGTGAATACAAATACATGAACGATCCTTATTCCTTCCCTAACATAGCTGATCCTTTGAACCAACATAATTACCCAAATCCACCACCAAATGCGGTAAACAAATATTGGATATGACATAATGGATCACTTTATTTAATATAAGTGTTTATTGTATAAAAAATAAAAATATATTGTTACTTTATTTAAATTATATATTAATTGTAAGTTTTGTATCGTAGTTAACTATAATTTTAGATACTGATTGAGAATTACCTCTCTTGTGCATTCCATTTGATAGATACCCATAAAAACCAAACATTTGTAAATAATTATTAGAACAGTCATTAGTGAATAAAAATAAATAAGAGAAATATGTCCTAAGACTTTTTTATTTATGAAAATAAAAAAAATACATTTCCTTTAGTTTCTCAAATAAAAAGTGTCTAATTTAGTATGAGTATATTATTTTTTTCATAATTCAATTCAAATACCCCATAGAAAAATGATAATTAATTTAACACTAAGTGTAATTTCTGTAATAGTTAAAAATTCAACAATATTTGCCGAATCTGTTTATTTTTTTTTCAATTACTAAAACGTTCTCTAAATATATTTTGCCTTTTAAACGAAACAAAAGTAGGTATTGAGAGTTGAGACTTACTTTTTTACATACTTAATAATATGAAAGATAAATTCTTGGTGCAGTGTGCTTGTAAAAGTTTATTCACATATGTTAAAATCAACTGCATAAAAAAATAAAAAAATCTTTAAAATTTGCAAATTTTTACTCTATATTATGTATTTACATTATGTAACATATTTTTTTTAATGATTAACAATTTGGATTTATGTTTTACTGAGTTGTGATTTCTACCACTGATGCTCCAGGCTCGACGGGAGGAATAGCATCAACATTCGCATTTTCAGGATTCACCTCTGTTGTTGCCTCTGGTAACCCAGTTATGGGTTCTGGTTGAATTTCGTTAACTGCATCGTTACCGCGTGTCATTGCATTTGTAGCATCCATTTGTGTGACAGCATTTTCAACTAAGCTTTCAGGTTGGGCAACCGCTATTGATAAAGATGGTTCGTTTTGGGGTTGTACCGGTTCAGAAACCTCAGAGGTAACAGGTGCGATATCCAGCGAGACAGGTTCTATAGGCTGTATAATTTCTGTCTGAGAAGTATTTGTCATTAACTCGGGAGCAACCGACGCATTTACAGATTGTGAAGACGTAACAATCGTTTCAGTTTGAGTAGATCCACTCTCAGGCTGAGAAGACGTAGATGTTGAAGTTAAACTTGGTACGTTATCAATAACAGCCCCAGACTCAGCAGGTTTAGTTTCCGACTGGGTAGATGTTGATGTTCCTTGCGATTCAGCTGGTACAATTTTAGGTTCAACTCCAACTACACCGTCAGATTGCACAGGAGTACTTTCAGGCTGAGTAGAAACACTTGCATCTTCTGTAGGGTTAATTACTGCTTGACCCATACTTGACACATTTTCAGCTTGTGTGGTTTCATTATCTACAACAATCTGAGTTGGTATATTATTAGCTTGAGAAGGGTCAGCGACCGCCTCAAACACAGTCGGTGTAGTTTCACTAACTATGGTATCAACAAAGGCTGAAGTTGAAGTTGTAGCAGGTACAGTTTCAGTTTGAGTGAGAGCTAATTCACCTTGCAGTTCTGGTGCATTTTCAGATTGAACCGATGCTACGATTTCAGTCTGAGTAGGAGCACTTCCTAAATCAACACTTGGGGTTGAGGCAGTCATGGCAGGTGCCGTTTCTGACTGGGTAGATGTTGATTCTGCTTGTGGTTGAGTAGGTACAGCATTGGCATCAACTAAAACAGTACTTTCAGGCTGTACAGAACTACTTGCAATTGGAGTAGAAGCAGCATCAGCTTTCACAGGTTCAGTAACTGCGTCAGCTACAACTGATACATTATCTGATTGTGTGGTTTCAACAACTGGAAGAGGCTGTGCTGGTCCACTTTTATTCTGGGAAAGATCAATAGCCACCTCAGATACAGATTGTGTATTTTCAGTTAATTTAATATCGACGATTTCAGTTGTAGCAGGAGCAGTTTGTGATTGTGTATTGGGTTGAAGTACACTTTCAGATTGAACTGATGTCACGATTTCAGACTGAGCAGGAGCACTTCCTTCTTGAGCAGGATTGATTTGTGCTATATCTTTATTTCCAGGTTGTGTTGGTAAAGCTGCAACAGCTACATTTTCAGGTTGCAAAGAACTAAGATCTACTTCAGATACAGGTATATTTTCATTTAATTCACTGCCAACTACAACCTCATTAGTAATAGGTACAGTTTCAGTTTGGGATGGTACCGATTGTTCTTGTTCTTGAGTTCGTACAGTTTCAGGTTGAACTACCGTTCCTGTTTCAAGTTGAATCGATGCATCATTCCCAACTTGAGAAGATATACTGTCAGATTGCATAGAATTTACTACCGGCTCAGAAATTTCAGATGCAGCTTCAGGTTGTGTAGATTTAATTTCAGTCTCGGGGACAGAAGATTCAATATTAGTGACTTTAGATGCAGATTCATTGGCGTTATTTGTTTCAGATATAATTCCTGTGACCTTTACATCAATTTGATTACCTACAACTTCATTTTGTACAACAGAACTGGCGGCTGTGTCGTTATTAAATGAAACAGATTGACCATTGATAACTGGATTATCTGGTTGATTTCCAATACTAGTAACATCTCCAATATTAATAGATTCACCTTGGTTATTTACAGCAGATCCTGAACCGGTGTTAGAAATAGAGTTTGTGACTTCTAATGTATCCGAATTAGTTTCAATCCCAGCTGGCTCATTAGCAGTGGTATATATTTCACTTGTTATACCAGAACCAGTTTCAGAGACAACTTCTATAGCGGCCGCATTAGCTGGGTCATTAGAAGATAGAGTTGTTCCAGCTAAATTGCTTGAGAAAGCTGTGCTAGTGATAGATTCAGTTCCTTCAGCCACAACAGAAACTACTTGCGTATTGGCTACGTCAGTTTGTTCATTAACAACAGTATTTATAGAAGATCCAGAAATGGGATTCGTACTAGAGTCTGTGGCAATTACAACCCCGGAGGTATTTTCTTTACCAGATACATTAGATTGCGTGTTAGTGGCTGTATTAGATTCAGTTTCAAATCCTACGATAGATCCAGCAGTACCGGAAGTTGAGTTTGAATCGTTTGTAATACTTTGAGTACTTCCAATTATATTTGATTCACCATCATTCCCAGTAACATCTTCAATACCAACTACATTAGCTTGATTTTCAGGAGTCGAAGTCAATCCAGGTTTATTGTTCACATAAATTATACTTCCTTCCGCAGCTTCGGAAACATTTTCAGCACCTGTGTTAGATTGTTCATTAGCAGTTGAGTTTGATTCTGCTCCATTGATACCCGTAGACCCGGAATTGATAGAAGTATTAATAGCAGTTCCTTCTGCAGTATTGAAATTAATGTCAGTGTCAGCTATATTGGGTTGCTCGTTAACAGGGACGCTTTGCGCTACTTTGTTTGCAACATTAGAAATATTGCTATCGCCAGTCACAGAATTGGATGTTACTTCATTAGCAGCAATAATATCTGAAGGAATTTCGGCACCGGCTACATTAGATTGCTTATTACCGGCAATGTTTTCCGAGGAAGTTTGTGCTCCAGCTACACTAGATTGACTTTCAATAATAGTATTTGAAACAGCTCCATTACTTTGCGTAATTTCAAATTGAGAACTAGAAGCAGAGTTAACATTAGCAGTACTAGCAGGTGAATTAGATAGGGCATCAGTAGGTGAATTGTTTTCCGTGTTAATCACTGCAGGAAGCCCTGTAACTTCACTGTCAATAATAGTATTCAAATCAGCTCCATTACTTTGCGTAGTTTCAGCTTGAGCACTAGAAGCAGAGTTTGAATTAGCCACACTATCAGGTGAGCTAGACAGGAAATCAGTAGGTGAATTATTTTGCGTGTCCGTCACTGAAGGGAGCCCTGTTATTGCACCGCTCGAAGAAACATTTATATCAGTTTCGCTAATAGCACTGGTAGAATTAATGGCACTCATATTATTGGTTTGTGTCTCACTTGAAATCCAGTTCGGCAACAGGCTTGATAAAAACTGTGATACGGCTTGTAATAAAGTTCTTTTTTCCTCCAGATATTGATGAGATACTTGTACAGAAGGTAAGTTGACATTATTCAATAAATTTGTTTTATTGTTGATTTTTTCTAGTTTTCTTTCCAGCTCTCCCTGTAATTGTTGTATACCTATAGCGTTAACGTGACTTAGAATATATTTTCTTAATGCATTTTGAGAAGCTACGTCACTTTGAACGTTGGACTGTATTAGCTTTATTACAGCTTGACGATATTCTCCCTTTGTACTGTTACCGCTAAGACCAAGCTCTTCTTGGAAATATTTGTTCAAAACTGATTTCTTTTCTAGTTTGGTACTGTTGGAATTTAAGCCATATTTTTCATAAACATAGTTCTTCCAAACATCCTCAAGATCCAAGGAATCGTTTTCTTCTAGAGATTCTTCAGAAATCACGTCAGTGTCGCTCTGTGCTTTTTCTTGTAGTTTCTCTAGTTCTCTTTTTTCTTTTTCTTGTAGTTTTCGTTCTCTCTCTTCCTGTTTTAATCTTTCTTTCTCCAACCTTTCCTGTTGCTTCCGTTGTTCTCTTTCCATCTTTTCTTGTACCTTACGTTGCCGTTCAATTATTTTCTCTTCATGTTTGCGTCTCTCATTCTCCCTTTTTTCCTCTTCTCTTCGTAACTTTTCAGCTAATTTTTGCTCTTCCTCCTGGAGCTTGAGGTTTTTCTCTTTCTCTTTTCGCCTTAACTTCTCTTGTCTCTCTAATTCTTTTTTATGTCGTTTCTCTTCCTCCTCCAATAGTTTTTTTTCTAAAGAGTTATTGTCGTTATCATCTTCATCTTCGTCTCTTTCAACAGTAGCTTCCGATTCATTGGATTCGGAATTATCGGAATGCCATAATAAAGATCTCCTTGTTTCTACTTCGTTTGGTAAATATTTCGCACTCACCAAGTAAAAACATACCTGCAAACAATAAAACTCAAAATCAATAATAGTATTAGAATCGGAGTAAATAAAACCTTAGTTCAATACAACAAAAAATACATATTAAAGCGATGCAATATTTTATAAAAACATACACAAACGAAGAGAATATATATATATATATATTGATAGTATGTATAATGGTGAAAGATATGATTGTTTTCTCGTTCACTTGCATTAAATAGGTTCCGTAACTACCGCAACGATTTTAAAAAATCATTTTACATTACACAAACTATAATTTACGATGGCAAGTATAATTTAATTTATAGTTTCAAAATTATCAAGTATTTTACAATCAACAGCACATTAGGGAACTCCAACCGACAGGATGACAGTAACCTCAATCCACCAGGACTAGATTTCTTCAACCAATTTCAACTCTTGAACTGAGACTTGAGTACAAAATTGATCACATAAATTACACTTTTAGTATTTTTAAGTTAAAGTTTATAATTGTAATAGATCATTTAATGCATGAATACGTACTTAAACTTGAAAATAAAAAATAAGATAATAATATAACTAAAATACAAAATTATAATGACTACACCTAATTCGTCAAAAGTATAGTCTTCATAAAAAAATACCAAAGCAAAATTAAACAACTGTAAAATCCGAAATCAAACAAATATTACTAAGAAAATCTGTTCAATAGTTTTTACGTGAAGAAGTAACAAACATCCAAACTTACAAACTTTTTCATTTATAATATTAGTAAAATTAAGATCTTAGCACACCTGAAGAGTATGGCTCCAACCCATAATTTAACTGATTACCTAAATTTAGCTATTAAATTGTTTCGTCAATATAAAAAAAAATTGACAACTACGATTGGCTATTTAATATTGACGATATGAAATATATTATATGACATACGATTTAATTATCAAACACAAAAGGCAAGTAAATTCAGAACCCGTTGGAACCGAAATATGCTAAGACTTTTATTCTGATCTCAAATTAATAACAAAACGAAACACCACCGACATCATATATAGATTTTAGACAAAGATTTCATTGATGACCTCCGCACCCGAGTGAATCCCGGGTTCGATTCCCGATCGGGTCAGTGTAGAACGTGAACTAGTCTATATTGTCCCGGGTCTGATCTGTGGTACCTTCGTCGTTTCAGACACTCCATAACACGAGGGCCTAAGCTACTTATCTTGGAATCTGAGCAATGTTCAGATTTCAAAATAAGTGAAGATATGTATTTAATTAAAAAGGCGAAAGAATCGACCCCACAATCAGTACTAAGTACTCATCATTACTTCTTCAACGTTCACTTCATCACATCACTAAGTCAATCACTTATAATAATAAAAACTTACAATAAAAATCAAATATATTGTCTTCATTTTGTCTGCTTCACTTTCTCATTAATGCGAAATTCGTTCGATATAATCACGTCTAATATAACTTGCGTGACATATAAGATCGTTCGTTAGAATATTCAGAAATTCTTTAAGCACATCCTTTTATACGACGTCGAGTAATTACAAAAGATAACATTAGATAATGAGTTCTGCCGAGATAAACGTGAAACAAACTAAATCTTATTCAAACAAAATGTTTTTGCGAACACACTGAGTCATGTTAACAAACTCTGTTATTATGCTTACAATACAATAGTTATCATTGCTGCATGAAGAAAAGTCAAAAACAAATTATTAAAACCGGATATTTACTTCCGACGATATCAAACATCTCGTAAGGGGGATTTGACGATTGTAAATATAGTTTATATATTTAACTAGTACTAAAATGATTATTACTTTTGAATGAGGCTTTATAAAAAATTCTAGTTTTTTGCAAAAAAAATTTCATTCTCACTAACTTGCAATTTTAGACACTAGCATGCCTATCATCTTATTAGATTCGATTCATAAGACGGTTCGTTAACATTGGATTAAATCAAAATATATTCCACGTTCAATAGGTACAGCAAAAACCAAGTCGAAGCCAATTTTCATACGCGTTAGACTTACAAGCTCCCCAGGTGTGGCTAGCCCGATGATTACGCCCGAGTACCCGGGTGCCACTACTGCTTTTCTCAACCGAAAGTCTGTCCAGAGTTTTAGTGGGTACCTACCCACTATTAGCGAAACCCTGGTCTTTTCCCAGCCCGCAAGAAAGGGGGCCCTCGCCCCTCACGGGTCCCGAAGTGGGGTTGGATCCGGCGAGCTCCTGACTGGATTCCTAATTCCACCGAGGGTATGTCACAGTGGATTTTACCAGGTAGGCCAATCACACTTCAACCTGTCTTTCTCAGGAGAGGATGGTTGCAGAGCCCTGGTTTAAGGCTTAACGTACATTCCCCTTGGTTACCAAAAAAATACATTAGCGAAAGAGGATCCCGCATGCTCACTGTCCTCCTGTCCGGTGGCAAGGCCAGTGCTTTTTGTCTGGATCCCCAAACTACCCAGAAATTAGCAGCATGATTTAACGTAACCTCACGTACAATATTAACTTATTTACATCAAATCAATAATCCAATCAGAATTGGCCAACGTGATGGGTCATGGTCCAACCTTCTTAACCATTCGTAAGGAAGTCTAAGCCTCTGCAGTGGGAACATAAAAGGGCTGATGATGATGATACGATAAAAAATATGAAAATCCTCATGGTTTTTAGAGTCCTCTTGTAAAATTGGTATAAAAATGGAATATTTTTGATTCTAATTGTGAAGTGATGAGAAGTGGATTCTTAACGATAAACGAATGTTGAAAATGCTGATCCCAGGCCAAACACCGCAACAGTGCCCTATAGCAAAGCTTACCAATATAAAGGTAACAAGTGTTCAGTGGTCTGAATAATATTCAGACAGATAGATAATGTTCGTAAATAATATTATCTATTATTCACTATAGCCTCAATCTGAAATAACAACAGATGTTTACTGTACCGAATTTCAAAAAATGATGACAAAACCATGCTTAGCGTACCATACCATACCATACCATACATACTATATTCTCAATACTTAAATTCTTTCTTGCAGTTTATCGAATCTAGACCACCAGAGGTATCGCAAAGACATAAACGAACTTCTGATTAAATAGTAACCATGAATTGATCGAGAAGGTACATATTTTGGAAAATAACGTTTATAAATTCAATACAAATCGGCAATTTCATTCTCAAAACCATAAAATAGCATTTTCCAACTAATCATTTGACAAAATACAAATTTTACCATGGTTTTAGTTTGCAAATACACTGGACCGCAAAGAAAACGGGTCGGTTAGAAAATCTTCAATAACTTGAAAACTACCTCACCTAGCTTTATGAAATAAAAACTCAATTGAAGAATATTTAATTTTATTTAACATAGTATATAAAACCTTTTTATTTACTTTAGATAATTGTTGTTAAATATAATTTGAATTTCGCGCCTTTTTAAGCCAACTCACGTTTGGCCATATACTTATTCTCTCTCTATGATCTGCTCTGTGACACCATTTTTCATACGTGTGTAATTTTTATTAAATAAAATAATCCAGTGATTAAACAACAGTTTAGTTTGATTAATTATATCAGGTTATGGGCCCAGAAAACCCCAGAAATAAGGACAGTGCAAAATCTTTCAATAAAAACTGTTACAATAAGATATTGAATGTGGACATAACCTCAATCGCCGGGAAATATTTTTTCATAGACCTCGTGGTGAAGTGTTTTGTTGTAAAACAGTACAGTTTTTAAAAATGACAGGAAACAATCAAATGTCAGTTATTGAAAAACTATCAGGCCGTGAAAATTACGCAACTTGGCGGTTTGCAGTACAAACTTACCTGCAACACGAAGAGTTGTGGGACTGCATTGAATCGGGTTCAAACACTCCAGTGGATATGAAACGAGATATAAAGGCTAAAACAAAGATAATTCTTTTAGTTGATCCTACAAACTATGTACACATTCAAGAAGCAAGCACTGCCAAGGAAGTATGGAATAAGTTATCGACAGCCTTCGATGACTCTGGGCTTACACGCCGTGTAGGACTACTGCGTGATCTGTGTAACACGTCGCTAACTGGATGTCAAAATGTAGAAGAATATGTGAGCAAAATAATGAGTACAGCCCACAAGCTCCGTAACATTGGTTTTAAGGTAGATGATGAGTGGCTCGGCACACTACTGCTCTCCGGTCTGCCTGAATCTTATCAACCAATGATTATAGCTATAGAGAGCTCTGGCATGAAGATAACCTCTGATTCTATTAAATCAAAGCTATTACAAGATGTAAGACAACCCGAGAACACATCTACTGCATTTGTGGCTAATAAAAAAACACAAAACAATAACAAGAAACCATCAAAAGGCCCTAGGTGCTACACTTGTAACAAATACGGTCATAAAAGTCCTGAATGCAAATCCAAAACCAAATATACACAACATAAGTCAGGCAATTCATCTTATGCTGCTGTGTTTATTGCGACTTCAACTCAAGATGATGCATGGTATGTGGATTCTGGCGCCTCCTCACATATGACCAGACATAGGAGCTTACTGCAAAATGAATCAACTCCTACCATAGAAAATATAAGAGTTGCAGATAATAAAGTATTATCTGTGCAAAGCTCGGGAGAAGTGAGTTTAGATATTTATAATAATAAAGGTGAAGAAAAGAAAGTGCTCTTTACAAATGTGTTATGTGTTCCTGAACTTGCCACAAATCTTATATCAGTGAGTCAAATTATAAGAAGTGGTGGACAAGTAAGATTTGATGAAACAGGATGTGCTATTATAAACAGTAAAGGTCAGATAGTAGCAACAGCTAGTTCAATCAACAACATGTATCGGTTGAATATGCCTGGAAGAGGCTATGCATGCATGTCTGATGTTAAAGAACAAGATGTTTACACATGGCATCAGCGAATGGGACATCTAAATTTTTACAGTCTCAGCAAAATGACTGAAAATACTAACCATGTAAGTTTTCCAGAAAAATTGAAAAATCTGACATGTGTTACATGTAAAGAAGGTAAACTGACACGACTACCTTTTAAGAGCGAGGGCTCAAGAGCTAAAAATATTCTTGATTTAGTTCACTCAGACATATGTGGACCTATGGAAACAGAAACACTAGGAGGTGCTAAATACTTCATAACGTTTCTTGATGACTGTTCAAAGAAGATATATGTATACTTTCTCCGGAACAAGTCTGATGCCCTGGAAAAATTCAAAGAATTTAAACATGAAGTAGAGAATCAGAAGGATGCTCGTATAAAAGTTCTTCGGACAGACAATGGTTTAGAATATATCAACAAGAGTTTCTCTGATTATCTGAAAGGTGCTGGTATCATACACCAAACCACCACACCGTATTCACCAGAACAAAATGGGACTGCAGAACGCATGAATAGGACTCTCATTGAAAGAGCGAAATGTATGCTACTTAATGCCAATTTGTCAAAACAATACTGGGGTGATGCAGTACACACTGCTGCCTATATTGTCAATCGTTCTCCAACTAAGTTGTTGTCATTTAAAACACCAGAAGAAATTTGGACAGGACAAAAACCATATGTGAATCATATGCGTATATTTGGGTGTGAAGCGATGGTTCACTTGCCAAAAGAAAAGCGAAAGAAATGGGACCCAAAGGCACAGAAAATGATCTTTATTGGATACTGTGATCACACCAAGGGTTACAGATTTATAATACCTGGTACACGAAGAGTAGTAAAAAGCAGGGATGCTATATTTTTAGAATCTACTGTGAACAGAAATTGTGTTCCTGTAGAGTTGTCAACGAATTCTGCAACAAATAATGATAATACTATCCAGAAAATAACAGGAGAAGAAAATACGCAGAATGATTCAATTTCAGAGGGTTCATATGATACTGTATGTGATAATAAATCTACTTCAGATAGTGATTACTTACCTGACACTAGTATTGAGTCTCTTCCAATCAGCAAAGTCACATTGAGACCTAGAAATAAAGAAAATAAACATATCACAAATGAAAACAGTTCTGATGAAAGTACTTACCTGTGTCAACATGATGAAATGCTTGCAGATGTTCCAAAAACATACAGAGAAGCCATAAAATCAACTGACAAAGAAAAATGGGAAATATCAATAAGTGAAGAACTAGATTCCCATCAGAAAAACAATACCTGGACATTGGTCAAAAAGCCCCCAAATGCAAAAATAATTGGATGTAAATGGGTGTTTCGAGTCAAAAGCGAACCCACAGGTCCACGTTACAAAGCAAGACTATGTGCCAAAGGATATGCACAAACTGCAGGTATCGATTATCAAGAAACCTTTTCACCAACTGTGAGGTATGATTCGATTCGATTATTGTTATCCACAGCCATTCAAAACAATCTCAAAATTATGCAAATTGATGTTAAGACGGCTTTCTTGTATGGTGAACTTGAAGAAACTATATTGATGTGTCCGCCAGAAGGCCTGCCCTGTGGAGAAAATATGGTATGTAAACTTAACAAA